GGGATGTGTTATTTTCCCCTCAAAGCTTCAGGTAGTGAGTTATCTCTACCTGATTGTTCACAGTTACAGATTGAACTCCTTGTTCTACTACTTTCCCCCCTCCTCACTACTGCACTTGACTAGTCTTAAAAAAAAAAAAAAAAAAAAAAAAAAGCCTCAGCTTGCAGCATGCATAGGATGGCCAGGACGTGACAGCGGGAGCCGACCTTGTTGGTGGAGCTGCCCACACCTTTCCAGTCACCTCTGGGATACTGGCTTACGATGGGCAGATGAGAAGGGCTGCTCATCTTCTTTACCGCTCCACCAGGAAATGCATAGGTTGTGCAGATGCACTGCGTAGCCACGCCCATCACTAGGTCTCATTTTCAGGGTAGGGCTTATATTACGCAAATGCTTAGAAATCCTGCTAGGGCTTATTTTATGGGTAGGTCTTATTTTCGGGGAAAAGTACACTCTGATGTTTGCACAACAATGAAATTGTCTGATGATCTATTTCTTATAACATATCCACATTGTTAAGAAACACATCTCTGTATTTCAGTATCTGTCATTAGCGCTATTCTTTGGGTTTAAGGAACATAGAAACCAGAACTGGATAGTTTTAGCTAAAATACACAGATTTTTAAAAAGTAACTCTGGGTGGCTGGGCGTGGTGGCTTATCCCTATAATCCAGCACTTTGGGAGGCCAAGGTGAGAGAGAGGATTGCTTGAGGCCAGGGATTAGAGACCAGCCTGGGTAACATAGTGAGACTCCCATCTCTACAAAAAATAAAAATAAAAAATTAGCCCAGCATGGTGATGAACTTGTGTAGTCCTGGGTACTTGGGCGGCTATTGCAGGAGGATTCCTTGAGTCCCGAAGTTCAAGGCTACAGTGAGGTATGATCACACACCACTGTACTCCAGCCTGAATGACAGAGTGAGACTTTCTCAAAAAAAAAAAAGTAACTTTGAGAAAAGAAGATATGAAAGAAAGGGAGAGAGAGGTAGAGAGAGGAAATAATGTTAAGAGATTAATTGTGGTACTATGTTTATGACAAATATTACCAGCATTTGGAGAAAGAAATAATTTGTGGCTTTTTAGGGGTGCCAAAAAGCATGACAATTTTTCAAGTGCATAAAGACTATACTTTAATGACAGAAAATATATTAAATTTTAAATAAAAATGTTTAGTGTATTACTGTTCTTCTTTAAAAACTATAGATTTGCCGGGCGCTGTGGCTCACGCCTGTAATCCTAGCTCTTGGGAGGCCGAGGCGGGCGGATTGCTCAAGGTCAGGAGTTCAAAACCAGCCTGAGCAAGAGCGAGACCCCGTCTCTACTATAAATAGAAAGAAATTAATTGGCCAACTGATATATATATATAAAAAAAAAATTAGCCGGGCATGGTGGCACATGCCTGTAGTCCCAGCTACTCGGGAGGCTGAGGCAGTAGGATCACTCGAGCCCAGGTGTTTGAGGTTGCTGTGAGCTAGGCTGACGCCACGGCACTCACTCTAGCCTGGACAACAAAGCGAGACTCTGTCTCAAAAAAAAAACAACAAAAAAAAAAACTATAGATTTGATTTAGTGTTGAATGGTAGCAGAACATGCCACCCCAAAATATGCCACTTTGGCATGAAGATTATTTTGAGCTGAAGGCACTTGAGAAACAGCAGATATAAAAGAGTCACTCTGTCTTCCCTACCAGGAGAGGTGACATTGTTGTCATTAGAGATGGAGAGTCAAGGCTGAGAAAAATCTGTACAAAGACGTTGTTAAAATAACTCTTATCTTCCTTTAGCCTTCCCATACACTTTAGTTACTTTTCCACAATCACCACTTTGTTCAACCTACAATATAAGCATTTAGGTTTTGCCACTTCTTTGGGTCTTCATGTTCCTGTGGGGGCTCCCATGTACATGTAAAAATCTGTACACTTTTCTCCTATTAATCTCACTTATGTCAATTTAATTCTCACACCCAGCCAGAGACCCTAAGAGGGTAGAGGTAAAGTTTTGCCTCTCCTACAATGTCTGTTTTTTAAACAAAACAAACAAAATCTATCCCAAAATATTTGTGGCAAATCATTTGACAATTCATTTCCCCACCTAGAAAATTAGATGTTTGGGTTAGAATATCTCCACAGTCCCTTTTAATTTAATATTGTATATTTTGCTTTGAATAGCGCAATTGATAAATATTTACTTATTCACTAAACAATTATTTTAGTAATTATTTATGTGCTAGACACTATGCCATTAGTGGAAATGTAGTGGGGAACAAGAAAAATATGACTCTTCATTCACCAAATTTATTGTCAATTGGAGAAATCAGCAGGGGGAACTGCTTGCTATAACCAATAATCTCTACAAAAATGATGAAAATGTAGCTGTTAGGACAAAGATAATTGTCTCTATGAGACAGACAAGCTCCATTTTTGTTATTGTTAAAGAAAATTAATAAAGCTTTTCTCATTACTTTGTAAAACAAATAGAGATCTAATTCAGAACACCTCAATGAGGTTCTAAATTGTCTGAAATCAGATAGCTGTCAGCTCTCAGGTTGCTGGGACCATATTAAAATATTGCCTCGAGTAAAACATTTCAAATGGAAGTATGAGGGGCTATACTATTAATCGTTATTATCATTTTCTAGGCCTTTTATCAATATAACTTGTGACAATATAGGTGAAAAGGGAATGAGGTTCTAAGCTAGGCACATACTTCCCTTTAACTTTTGCAACAACTTTTTAAAGGAAGCAGCATTATCTTTTCTTCTTAGCTGAGAAAATAGGCTCAGAGAGTGAAGTAATTTGAATAAAGTCACATTGCTAGAAAGTGGTGAAAAGCATTAAAACCCAAGTTTGTCAGCTTCAGATGATCACATTCTTTTCACTACACTATGCTTCTTCCAGTAAGAGAAAGCTTTGAAGCTCTGTTTACCAAAGCCTATTCTCTGGAACACTAATGAGGCAAGATGTTTCATAAGCATAAATGAATGCCACGGTCAAATAACTCTGGGAAATGCCAAGCATTTTAAAGGCAGTGAAGTATTACATTTAAAAACTATTTAATTTTATTTAACCAGCTTTTCCCCAAACTCACTGGACTACCAAACCCAGATGTTTTTTCATTTAATTCTTGTCAATGTCTCTTGAAATGAATTAAAATAATCTGGCATATGCTTAGTTAAGTGACTAAAAGGCAAAAGGTATAAGTGAGAGCTTTAAATTAGAAATTGTTTGCAAAGCAACTAAAATTAAAAAAAAACTAGCAGGTATGAGGGAAGCATTTTAGAAAGATACACTCAGTGTTCCCATGTAGCTGAGAGATGGGGATGGTGGGTGGATGGAGAGTCAGAGTCAAAAAGGGAAATAGACATGAAATAATACAGACAGCATATTTTCAGCACAAATTTTAGTGATTCCTGTGGGCTGAAGTTGAAGGGAAGATTTGGGAGAGAAAAGAGGCTTGAGTTGGCTCCTGAGGGATATGAAGATTTAGGGGCAGAAGAGGCCAGGAGACATTGAAAGGCAAAACATGTTTGGAGGAGAGTAAAAAATGATTCTTAGGAACTATGTAGGAAAATAAAATAGGACAGGTAGGGTTGGTTTAGATTATAGACAATCATACAGAAATCATGAGGGAAGGAAGGGTTAAAATGTGAAAAATCATGTAGAAGGTCAATTAATCTGGATAATAAGTGTGAGAAGATTTTTGAATTTTACAACTGGAAAGGCTCTTGGAGCAAAGTTAATGTCTAATGAAACAGTCAATCCTCTAATCCAGTACCCCTTGCCCTAAAGACCTGACAACTGAGGCCAATAAAGGTCACTTGATTTTCCTAATGTCACACAGCTCACTAGCAGCACGCAGCACGTAGTAATCCTAACACTTTGGGAGGCTAAGGTGGGAGGATCTCTTGAGGCCAGGAGTTTGAGGCCAGCCTGTGCAACATAGAGATCCTGTCTCTAAAAAAACAATAAATAAGTAAATAAAAAAAGTTTTTAAAAAGCATATGGGAAAGGGTAACAGAGGAACTTTCCTTATAAAAGAGCATCCGTCCTGTTAGAATCCCCACTCTGCTTCATGTTATAATAATCCTTTTATTCACTATTAATACTTAGTATTAGGAGCACATTCCCTATCAGTTTGAAACGTGTTTGGTGCTGGGACTAGCTTCAAAGGAAGATAGCAACAACAAATAAAAGAAATTCCACGGATCATTCCAAGGATAATCAAAAAGGTAACATTGATTTGGGGTAAAATTTGGACAAAAAAGATTAGCCTAGGCCGCGTCAGCATTTCTGGCCACGAAAGCACTCAAGGATATTGAAAAAATATAGAACGGGGATGGGGGAAAAGCATTTCCCCAGAAGCCTGGGGGCCCCATTTTTGGCGTAAAACGTCGGGGCACAGAACAAAAAAGCACAGAGGACAAAGTAGCTGCCAATGGGGGAAAGATTACCACTTGGCCGCCAGTTGGCAAGGCCAGAAGATAATGTGACGGCTTCAGGACAGTCACTGCAGTCGGAGAGGCGGCTAGTCACGCCCGGCGCGACCTCAGACGAAGACTACAGCTCCCGACTCCACACCGGGCGCGCGAGCTGGGCCGCCGGAGTGAGTTCACGCGCAAGGCACTATGGTATTCGTAGTCTTTCTCCCCCTCAGCTCTTGGTTGGGGGAACCCTATTTTATGCAAATGACCCGCCCTTCCCAATCTTGCTTCCCATTGCTTCCCTTCCCTCCCTCCACCTTCTTTCACGGAGAGTTTGAAAATTCCCGCGGAGCCGGCGCCCGAGCGCGAAACGCTCGCGAGAACTCGGGTCCCCGCAGCCGCGATCTCCCTTCCTTCTCCCCTCCCTCTCCGCCCTCGCCCCTCCCCTCCGGGGCGTGTGGGACTCGATCTGTCTGCTCAGGGTAATGCGCACGGCAGGGACGGCGCTGTCCGAGGGAAGCGGGCAGAGTTGCAAGGGGGAGGACCCAGTACCGCGGCGGGGGCAGCGGCTGCGTTTTACCCGCTGAGCGGTCTGCAGCCGGCGAAGACATCCTCGAGAGTGGGCGGGGGTGTGGATCCGGGGCGGCCCGGGAGGTCGCGCGCGGAGGCCGGCGAGCAGAGAAGCGGCTCCAGCGGGGCGGAGGCGGGTGAGCCCAGCGTGTGGCGGCCGTGTCTCCCGGGAGATGCTGTGACGGACCCACGCGGGAGGAGCTCGTGCCTCGCTTCGCGCCCACTGGACTCGGCCCGCGGCGGCGCCGTCACCCGCCCTTCTCAGGTAGGGGGAAGGGAAGGGGCGGTTGGGCCCGCGCGGCGGAGGGCGAGGGCAGCTTGGTGCGGCCTGGGCCCGAGCGGCGGCCCGCGTCTCCCGCCGCGCCTCGGCGCCGGGCCCTCCCCGCGCGGGGCCTAGGCCGGCCGTTTGGCTGCCGAGGGAACGGCGGCCCCGGGCTAGCGGATCGGGCTCGAGGGGGCGAGCGCGGGCGGCGCCGGCGCGGCACGCTCCGGGGCTCCGGGGAGCGTTATGTAACCGCGTTTGCGCTGGAGCGTCTGCACATGGCGAGGGAGAAGCGCGCCGCCGCTCGCCTCCCGCCCTGGGCGGACCCCGACCTCGACTCTTCCCCTGTGGTGTTCTGCGACGCGGCGGAGAGCTTCCAGGGCCTGTCCCTGCGGCGCGCTGCGGCCGCTCCGAGCCCGTCCTGCGCGGTTCTGTGCTCCGCTTGGCCCTGGGCCTGGCCGGGGTGAGTCCCGGGCCGGGAAGTTGGACTCGGGATCCGAAATGTGCGGCACAGTTTCCGCGTGGGGGTCAGAGAAAGGAGATTTAAAATAACAACACATCTTGGAGCGGGGGTTCGTTTGCCTTATTTGTACCCACCTGGGAAGTCGAGGATAATTACTTTTGCCACTGGTTGACTTTTTGTTTTTATTTTTTTATTTTTTGAGGGATAGGTTAATTTTGTTGTCACAGCCAACGAGGTTCAGACTGTCTGCGTACAGTTATATGAGATGAGCGCAATTTTTATAAATAATACGTTGGAGAAGTTTTAGAAGAACCGGGTTCTTTAGAAGGAGACAGAGATCTTTTGGAAACTCTAAACTTTATCCAGAATACCCTAAAGAGCTTGTGGATTATAAGAACCGTCTTTGTGAGCTTCACTGATACGTTCTGTGAGGAGAGAAGAAAATAGGGCGGGTTTACTTATTTGGGAGGATTTGACCAGGATGAGACAAGTTCGGTTACATTTAATACTTTTAAGGGATGCGTTAAGTGTACTACGTGCTGTGGGAAGCCTACACTCTCTGTACTGTGATTTTTCAGTGACGTAGTACCAAAGTGTCGCCAATTCACAAACAACAATAACAATTTTTTTTTAAATGTAAAAGATTGTTATGGCCGGGCGAGGTGGCTCACGCCTGTAATCCTAGCACTTTTAGGAGGCCGAGGCGGGTGGATCGCTCAAGTTCAGGAGTTCGAAACCAGCCTGAGCAAGAGCGAGACGCCCGTCTTTACTAAAAAATAGAAAGACAACTAAAAAATATATACATAGAAAAAATTAGCCGGGCATGGTGGCGCATGCCTGTAGTCCCAGCTACTCGGGAGGCTGAGGCAGGAGGATCGCTTGAGCCTAGGAGTTTGAGGTTGCTGTGAGCTAGGCTGACACCATGGCACTCTAGTCCAGGCAACAGAGTGAGACTCTTGTCTCAAGAGGAAGAAGAAGAAAAGATAGTTATACAGCAATTTTGGGAAAGACATCACGATTTAAGGACATAAAACATTGTTTCTTTCGCTTCCAATGAACATTTTCAGGGATTCCTCTTTTTTTTAATTTTTATTTTTCTTTATCAGAATAAAGTATTAGTTCTCTAGGTTAGCTCAAAGGTCTCTACAATAAATCTATTCTGTCTAGCCTCATCTGTTCACAAATTTTATGCTTCAGCTATTCCAGAATCATCACCAATCCTGGGCCCATTCTGTTGAAGAAATTTTGCACTTTGATGTTTCTTTGCTCATGTTCTTAAGCTCCGATGCTATCTCACCTTTTTCAAATTCTCAAATTTCACATCCTCCTGCTAAATGCCATCTTTTCTCTGTATTCCTTCACGTCCCTTTGTCCCACTTTTTCCTGAGCTCTCATAGCATATGTACCTGTATTGTGTAATTTGTTCTTTGTGTCTGATAGTCTAATGATTGATTATGTATCTCTTCTAGCTTGTAAACTCCTTGAGGTCAGGAAATAGGTCATCTTTCTGCCCTTGGACTCCCTTCCCAAGACAGTGTTTTAGAAGTATTTAATAGTTGGTGATTAATAAACGTTTGAATTAAGTTTGAAAGAACACTGCTAAAAGAGTGGAAGTTTGAGTCCACTGGTAGTTTACATTTAAGTAATAGTTCTTAGTCTTTTTATTAGTCTAAAAGAAAAAAGTAAAATTGCATACAAAATGGTTTGTAGAAATGTTTACTCAGTATATGTTGCAATATAATTATTGAACAATTAGATTAGAATTCTGTTTTCTGTGGTGGAATTCATTTACTTCGGGAATGTGTGTAATTCACACAGAAAACTGATTTATAGTATTCTGTTTTATTTTATTTTATTTTTTTTTTGAGACAGAGTCTCGCTTTGTTGCCCGGGCTAGAGTGAGTGCCATGGCGTCAGCCTAGCTCACAGCAACCTCAAACTCCTGGGCTCAAGCAATCCTCCTGCCTCAGCCTCCCGAGTAGCTGGGACTACAGGCATGTGCCATCATGCCCGGCTAATTTTTTCTACATATATTAGTTGGCCAATTAATTTCTTTCTATTTATAGTAGAGACGGGGTCTCGCTCTTGCTCAGGGTGGTTTCGAACTCCTGACCTTGAGCAATCTGCCCGCCTCGGCCTCCCAGAGTGCTAGGATTACAGGCATGAGCCACCGCGCCCGGCCTATAGTATTCTGTTTTAATACCTGCCCTAGTAATTTTTTGAATTTTGTTTTGCTTCATACTGAGACAGTGTATATTTAAAAATAAGTTGGGCCCAATATTGAGTTTTTAAAAATTTGCTTTAATGTTTAACATCTGTATTCCATGTCCCTGTTAGTATCCTGCTATCTTAATTTACCACACGTTTAGAACCTATTAGTTGCAAGACATTGTGAGCTTATGGAATGACCAGGAATAAGATTTGATGATTTTTGGCTTTCTGATTTTTGGCTTTCTGCATGGTGTAGTAGAGAAGACAGACAAACACGAGTCATTATGTTTAAAAATCATGTTTAAGATTGGTTACACAAAGATGAAAAGTAGTGAGTTTAGAGATGGGATTACACACCAGGAAGTTAGTCCTTGCATATGGGTAGGACTTTGGCTGATGGATGAGGGAACAGCATAAAAAAAAGAATGAAAATGCTAGGCAATGGCAAACTGGTGAAGGAAGGGATTTGGGGAGACAAAACTGTGAAGGTAGCCTGGGCTGGTCAGATTGTGGAGGACTTTGCCTGTGGTTAAGGTGTCAATATGTAGCAGGGAGTTATTGAAGGTTTTTGAAGAGGGGAGTGACATAATCCATCTGTGCTTTATCCAGAAGATGACCAGTGTTTTCATTTACAGCTAGTAGAATGTTCCTGCTCTGCCTATCTAGGCCTTGGAAAGGAGCTGAAACTTTGTAAATTACTTTTTAGAGGTTGCCAGTGCTAGCATATTATAAAGGGCTGGGACTCTACTTAATTTAGTATAATACTGAACATATACATGCTTAATGTGTGTTTGTTTTATATGTCTTTATATGAGATATTCTTTTAATGTAGTTGTTAGAAGTTCTTTTCAGTGTGCTTAAGTTTGAATTTTTTTGCCCTATAGATTCAAAGGCTAACTTCTAAATTTGAAAAGCTTTTTTTTTTTTCATTCCCTGAACACTTTTTTAAACCTGTTTGTGCCGGGCACTAAAGTTTGGAGAGATAAGTATACCCCTTTCTAGAAGCTTGGGTGTAGAAGGAAGGAAGATAGACTATATAAGTACAAGATTGATTACAGGTACTAACTAGTAAGTGTTAGGACTTGGAGTCAACGCCATTTCTGTCTAATTCAATGTTTGTGCCCTTTCTAGTACTCTGGATGGAACCTGTGATTATTGTACAACTTGGTATTTCTCAGACACTAAGGGCTTTGAGAAATTTTTTTGCTCCTTAAAATAGGCATTGATACATTATGGAAGTTTGAGAACACTGCTCTAATTCCATTGGAACTAAAGGAGCAAATTTCTTTGGCTAAGTAGAAGTCAAATCTGTTTAAATTATGGGACTCAGAAGTAAATTAAAATTGTTCTCCTAATCCTAAGAAATAATTTAATAAAAGGGGGGCATGACATGAAGCTAGGGGAACAGTTAGGAGCAGTGTACAGGAAGGGTAGAGTGTAAGCTATGGATTCAGCATTTTGTGTCTAGCAATTTTAGGATATAGTAAACATTTTATTGTTGGTTGAATTAATTCAGAAAAGACTCATTATTGCTTGTCCATTGAATGTGGGAGGCAAGAGAAGGGGATCACTAAGAAAGTTGAGCAGCTTTAAGAAATTGAAGTTAGAGGTCTTTAATTTCTGAGTTTCTAAGAATGGCACTTGATACATTGTTATAATGTTAACCTTTGGGAAATAACTGGGCCATAGGCCAGATAATAGGGGTACTTGGAACTTTTAAGATTTTAAAACATAAAAATTGGTTTAGCCTATGGTACATACAGATCTGAGTTCTATTTCTGATGGATTAATGCAATAAATATTTGTGAATTTATTTTGGCATAATGTACCAAAGAATATTATGATAAACCTACACACTGGTAAATTCAGGATTATAAATGTTTCACAAAACATTCTAGTTCCTTTTATATTTTATTAACTAGGGGTTTGTAGAAATTCAGTTTTAAGTCCTCCCTTCCCCACTTTGTTTCTCATTTATGATTGAAAAGTTCTCATATCTTTGGATTTGATGAACAAGTCAAAATGCCATCTCCCACTCCCTAACTTAGGTTATGTTTTTTCCCTTGACTTTTTCTTTCTAGACCATTGTTCCCTCTCTTCCCTCACCTCCAGAAAATTTTTATTTCCATATATCAGTTTTTACGTCTAATAGCATTTAGATTTTGGGGGGTAGATGCTGGAGCAATGTTTTCCTCAAAGTAGTATGGTGTGCTACATTTCTCAGAATGGTGGCACCAATGATAGAAAAATGAAGTGAGGTACCTGAAACAAGACAGACATGGTGTCCTACCTAAAGATTTTATTCTGATTAATGCCTAGTACATAGGCATCATCTCCATAGATTATAACTCCCCTTTTTTGTGGTGGAGGGGACTCTTTCATCCATCTATAATTTTCTATTTCTGTATCATATTGAGAAAGGGATTTATTTTGTTTTTCCGAAGGGGTAGCTAAATTGTCTCAGGATATTATTAAAAGTTTATAATTTTCACAATGATTTGAATCGTTTATCTTTGTCATAAGTAAACTAGTTCAGTTTCTGGTCCCTTGCTTTTGTTGATCTGTTTCTTTATGCAAATATAGTATTATTTTAATCTTCTTAAAAAGTCAGTTATTGATTTCATTGACTTTTTTCCCTTTTTTTTTTTTCTTCTGTTTTCTATTTCAACTGTATTCCTTTTGGTTGTGTTGGATTTCATTTGCTCTTCTTTTTGTAGTTTTTTAAAGGTGGAACCTTAGGTTATTGATATGAGACCTTTTAGGTGTTTAGTGCTATAAATTTCTTTCTAAGCACTGCTTTAGTTGCGTCTCACAAATTTCGATATGCCATTTTTTCATTCAGTTCAAAGTACTTTGTCATTTTCCTTTTTGTTTCTTTTTTGATCTGTGGGTCATTTAAAAGTGTATTGTTTAGTGTCCAAATACTTAGAAATTTTCCAGGTGTTTTTCTTTTATTGATTGTACACATCATACATACTTTGAATTAGACAGTAATGTTCTTTGCTCTGAATTTTACTTTGATATAATAGTATATAACAATAATAAGAAAGCTGCTCCAGCTTTTTAAATTAGGGTTAGCATGGTATATCTTCCATTATTTTACTTCCAGTCTGTCTAGTGTTTTTATTTAAACTGGGTCTTGCTTTTTTATCCTGTCTGACAGTCTCTGCTTTTTAATTGGAATGTTTAGATAATTTAACATGATAATGTAATACTGGGTTTAAATCTGTCATCTTCCTATTTGTTATTTGTTCCATTTCTTTTCCACTTTTTGGGGGCCAACTTTTGGATTAACCTTTTTGGTGATCTTATTTGGTCTCTTTCATTAACTTATTAACTATATCTCCATGTGTTGTATGTGCATGTTTATAGTACAAGTCTTTAAATTATTATACTCTATCTTCAAATAATATAGCATTTCACATATAGTAGAAGAAGCTTGTAACAATGTCTTTCCATTTCCCCTTTCTAGGCCTTTGTGCTGTTGTCATACATTTTATTTGTAACTATGTTATAAAGTCCTCAATATAGTGCTATCATTTTTTGCTTCAAGTAGACAATTTGTCTTTTAAAGAGATTTAAAATAGCAAAAAAATGGTTTTTTGTATTTACTCACATATTTCCCATTTGGAGTGGTCCTTATTTTATGTAGATCTAGATTTTCATCTGGTATAATTTACATTCTTCCTGAAGGATTTCCTTTAATATTCTTTGTAGTGAAGCTTTGCTGGTGACTCTCTTTTCAGCTTTTGTATGTCTGAAAAGTCTTTATTTTGCCTTCATTGTTAGAAGATATTTTCACTGTAGATAGAATGTTAGGTTGACAGTGTTTTGGTTTTTTTTCTCTTTCAGAACTTTAAAGATACTATTCCACTGTCTTCTGGCTTACATTGTTTTCAATGAGAAGTCTCCTGACATTCTTATCTTCATTTTATGCATTGTGCCTTTTTTCCCTGGCTACTTTTAAGATTTTCTCTTTGTCTCTTGATTATGGTGTGTCTTGGTATAGTTTCTTCAGGTTTCTTGTGCTTGAGGTTTATTGTGCTTTTAGATTTGTAGGTTTATAGTTTTCATCAAATTTGGGAAATTTTCGGCCATTAGGTTTTTCAAATATTAGACCATTAGTTTTTCTGTCCTTCTCTTCTTTTGGAAACTCCAGTTACACGTATTAGGCCACTTGAGGTTATCCCATAGAACTGATGCTTTATTCAATCCTTGCTCCCAGTCTTTTGTTTCTTCTGTGCTTCATTTAGTTTCTATTGTGGGTCCTCAAGTTCACTAGCCACCTAATATATTTCTTTTCTTTCTTCAATTATTTTTATTTTTAAGATTGAACATCCTTGTTGAAATTCCAGAAACATAGTCCTTGCTGCTAATACATTATCTGTAGAAATTTGCTTTAGTCTTTTTATTTCTTCCAAATCTTTTCTTCATGTGCTTGTGTTTTCCTCGACCTTCTTGAACTTGGGGCTTTTAGCTAGAATAACAGATCTAATATCCTTATATAGTAATTCTAACTTTTGTGCCATTTCTGGATCTATTTCTAATGATGGATTTTTTTCCATATTGTGATTCATATTTTCCTGCTTATTTGCATGCCTGACAGTTTTTGATTGGAAGCCAGACATTGTGAATTTTTTTTCTGAGACTCAGAGCCATGGTTGTCAAAGTGGTTGGCTTTATTACTTCCCATCCTGCACAATGGGTGTTTCTCTTGCTTATCTTTATTTAGACTTATGATATATAGCCCTCTGGAAATTAATGGGAGTGAGGGGAGGCTCTTATTAGTTCTGTTAACCCTAGGCTTTATTATCTTCTGTGGATTTCAGAGTGCCCAGAACAAGATCATGGTTACCAGAATTGGATTTGATAGCTAACCCTCAAGATCAAAGCCAGCTTACATGTCTCTTAGAATTCCTACCTTCTTATCACTTTTGATTTTGCTAACTCAATAATTCAGAAAGATACTTTTCTATTTTAACCAACATTTTTGGTTGTTAATAATGGGAGGGGTAATTCAGGGAATCCAGTCTTTTATATATTTGAACTGAAAGAAATTTTTAGATTTTTTTTTTTCTATCCAGTGAAAGACATACCAAACTCATTTTCTGTGGTTTCTGTGGATTTGGCCATTTTTCATGGACTTCCCTCCCCTTTTATTGAAGAGGTAATTTTTCTAAAATATATCAGTTTTTCCTTTTTGGGTGAGTAAAATATTCTTTGAAAGTAGGTTAGATGGCCAGGCACAGTGGCTCATGCCTGTAATCCTAGCACTCTGGGAGGCCGAGGTGGGTGGATTGCTCAAGGTCAGGAGTTCGAGACCAGCCTGAGCAAGAGTGAGACCCCTCCCAACTCTACTAAAAATAGAAAGAAATTAACTGGACAGCTAAAAATATATAGAAAAATTTAGCCGGGCATGGTGGCGCATGCCTGTAGTCCCAGCTATTGGTGGCTGGGGCAGAAGGATTGCTTGAGCCCAGGAGTTTGAGGTCGCTGTGAGCTAGTCTGACGCCACGGCACTCTAGCCTGGGCAACAGAGTGAGACTCAGTCTCAAAAAAAAAATAAGAAAGAAATTGGATAAGATAATAAGGTGAATTGCACTGAACCAATTTTAAAAGATTATAGGAAATACTGTATATCCTTAGGACATCTGGCTTAATGAATCATCACTTTCCTTAGGCTCTTTGAGAAATATTGTCTTAGGAGAGAATACCTCAGACCCAGGTGCACATAATACGTGTTTTACCACTAGATTTTAGTTTTACTTTATTTACTTTTGTATGGTGGCTTTTTTCTTTTATTTTCTGGCTGGTGATAAGCAAATATGTTATAGTACAAACATATCAAAATAATGTTGTCTTTTAAAAATATTTACAGTGGAAGTATGCGGCACTTAATAGCTCAAGTGACTAGTGGTCTCCTGCAGTTCCCCGAAGTGACTATTCAAGCCCTTGGAGAAGACGAAATAACATTAGATTCTGTGCTTCGTGGGAAGTTTGCTGCAGGTAAAAATAATGTTGCTGAACATTTACTGATATGATTGATTTGTAAGATGAATAAATATATATTATAGTTCCTTTAATGTAGAAAAGAAGAACCTGAGTAGAGTGGTCTTATATAACATCTATAATTATATATTACAAACTCTATAATACATTATCAGTGAATCTCTGATTGGGGGTTTATACTTAAATTTTGCTTATTAAAAATCCTGTATATTTTGTATCTTTTAATATTGAATATCAATATTTGGGAAATAGAAATAATGTACAACTGAGTTTTCGTTATAATCAGTAAGTTTTATTGGTGATGAGTTTGGATTAGTACCTAAATAATGTTATGAATAGAAAAATCTGATTGTAGGGCCCTGAGTGATATAAAAGTTTCAGAAAGTCTTATTTCCTAATACCATTAATCTGAACAAGATTTAAATATGTAGTTTAGATTGGGTAAGAGAGCAGAGAAGTATGCTATTATTAAAAAGGCTTTCTATTTTAGATTTCAGTCTAATGAAAAATATTACAGAAGGCTTTTCTGAAAATAAGTTTTATAGCCATCTTCCCAGCAGGAAGGCAGCATAGCATATACATGTATCAGTCATTTAGCTGTTTACGGTGCTATTCTTTTAAATGTTAAAAGTAGCAATAGTACTTACTATATTTCAGGTACTGTAAATGACTTTTCATTGTGGTAGGTATAAAACTTTTCTAAACAGGCACTATTCTATCTATGTAGCTGAGAATCAAATAGGTTAAGTAATTCGAATTACACAGATAGGGGCAGAAAGAAGCTTTGAACCCTGGCATTCTGGGTTTCCACTGTGCCATGCTACTTTCTTAAACTTTGCAGCTTCCCTCACCCTATAAACTAGTATACCCAATTATCTACTTGGATGCATGATGGTTATCTCAAATTTAGTAGTAAAAGTTACCACCATTCATCTGGTTGAGCAACAATTCAGGGTCTGCCCTTAATTCTTCTATTTTACTCACCTCTTCTATGTCTTATTCAGCAGCTAGCAAATCCTGTTAGTGCTACTTCTAAGATGAATCTCCAGTAAATCCACTTTTCTCTATCCACAGACACCAATCAGGTATCATAGTTTCCCTACTTCTATCCCCTTGTTGTCCTTTCTTTGCTTAGCAGCTGGAGTAACATTTAAAACATAAATCAGATTGTCATTGACCTCCTTTAAACCTTCCAGTGACTTTACATTGTAGGCAGAGTGAAACCCAGATATGAGTAGTAAGCTCAGAAGAGGTTCTGGTATTTCCTATTTTTATGCTACTTGTGTCTTCTCAATTAGATTGTGAACTCCTCAGGGATAGATTTACATGTTATATTTTGTAACTGCTGTATCTCTTAGTTTAAATTTTTAGAGTATGAATGATATAGTAAAAGTATGCTTTGGAGTTTGACTTGGGATCTACTTCTGGCTCTGTTACTTTGTAACTGTGACTTTGGGCAGATTAAACTCTTTGCACTTTAGCTGCCTTATTTATATATTGATGTGATAAGGAATAAATGAAATAATTATTTAAGCACATAGTGTGGTACCTTTACCAAATGATTACTTTATTATTGCAGTAGTCGTTGCTCGATTTATTTTACTGATTTGAAGATCACTCTGTTCTGTGAATGCTTAGATTTCAATTTGAGGATATTATGTAAAGTTTTATGTAATTAACTTTATAGTATATATTTATATGTGAAAGAGCTAACTGCTACTGATTTTGTTGTGTTCAGACAATATTAAAATAAGCAATATTTTTGCTTTTTATATGTCTTCTAGGAAAAAATGGACTTGCTTGCTTGGCTTGTGGTCCACAACTTGAGGTGGTAAACTCTGTAACAGGAGAGCGGTTGTCTGCGTATAGATTCAGTGGAGTAAATGACCAGCCTCCTATAATTCTAGCAGTGAAAGAATTCTCTTGGCAGAAGAGAACTGGATTGTTAATAGGATTGGAAGAAGCAGAAGGAAGTGTCCTCTGTCTTTATGACCTTGGTATATCAAGGGTGGTTAAAGCAGTTGTTCTTCCTGGAAGGGTAGGTATTATTTAAGATATCTGGACATTCTACTTTCAAAACTTAACCCCCCGCTGGTTACACTGGTGGTTTACTTTGTGAAAATTCATTGAATATGTACATTTATAATTAGTGTACTTTTATGTAAATGTATTACTCTTTCTTCAGCAAAAAGTTCAAAATAAAAAAGAAGTTAAAGATGATATATATCCAAGGGACTTGACATTTAAAATGTAACTTTCCTTATTCTTAGAAAATTTCAAGATAAAAATAGCAGTGGCATCTAATGTTCTAATACTCTTGTGAAAAATACCATCTGAGTCTTTTTTTTGTATTTAGACAGAGTCTCACTCTGTTGCCTGGGCTAGAGTGCCATGGCATTAGCCTAGCTCACAGCAACCTACTCCTGGGCTCAGGCAATCCTCCTGCCTCAGCCTCCCGAGTAGCTGGGACTACAGGCATGCGCCACCATGCCTGGCTAATTTTTTCTATATATTTTTAGTTATCTAGCTAATTTTCTGTTTTTTTAGTAGAGATGAATTGGACATTATCTAAAAAGACCATGAAAAAATAACAGTATATGGAGTATTTGGGAAACTTAGTTTAGAATGACTGGGGGGATGTGTCAGGGTCTGAAATGGTGATGATGCAGATCGCAAATGATCTTGTTTGTAATTAGAGGCCTTCTTCTAAAGTCTATGGTGAAGTAATTTTAAGTTTTAAGCAGAACTTTCATGTAAAAAGCTCCTTTAGATTGGGTCAGAGACGGTATTATGGGAATAGAAACAAGGAGACTGTTGTAGTTCAGGTAAATAATGATGAGGAAGTGAATCAAAAAGAAATGAAAATGATGGGACAGATTCAAATTATATTCAGAAGGGAACATGATCAGGATTTGTTGATCATTTGGCTAAGTAATTGAGAACAAACAAGTTTCCTGAACTGGTTGCTTAGTTGAGTGGATGGTTGGTATCATATGGAATTGGCAATATAGAATAAGGAAAAGATTGGGGGAGTATTGATAGGTAATTTCAAAAGAAGTTCAACCAACTAGCTATTTTTTTTGGCTGGAATACAGTATCCCCTTCTAAATACGTTTGTTTTTAACTGCCTTCTTCTAAAATTAAGGTAACATTATCAGTCACTTCATATAGTGTTTGTATGAGGAATGCAAACTGAGATAGACTTCCATACCCTTTACTGGGGAATTGAAGAGAATATACTTTAGTATTCATAGATATTGTAACAATAATTAAAAGAAGTCTGTGAAGTTACAGCTTTCAGAATTAGAAACACTGTAATGTTCCATGTACTGAGAATATAGAGAAAGTGCCATTCGTTTGTCTGTAATAATAAATTATAGCCTAAAAAACCTTTTAACTTTATTAATGTATAAGCCATTGATACCAAATTTCCTCTTTTCTTTACAGGACATTCATCAGTACAGGTTGGGAATCCCTTATCTGAAATGCCTGGGACCAGAAATGTTTCAGATTTTGGATTTTTGGATTTGGGATGCTCAGCCTGTATTATAGTAGAAACCACCAAACATTTAATCATCATATATCATACATAATCAATTTTTGTTAATTAATAAGAAACAGAAGGAAAGCTAAGTATAAGATAAAATATGGATGATTAGGTACATACATTTAAAATTTATCACATGAGATAAAAAAATATGACTCCATAAAGTAGCTAAAGTCATCATACTTTATTCTTTTTTTTGAGACAGAGTCTCACTTTGTTGCCCAGGCTAGAGTGAGTGCCATGGTGTCAGCCTAGCTCACAGCAACCTCAAACTCCTGGGCTCAAGCAATCCTCCTGCCTCAGCCTCCCGAGTAGCTGGGACTACAGGCATGTGCCATCATGCCCGGCTAATTTTTTCTACATATATTAGTTGGCCAATTAATTTCTTTCTATTTATAGTAGAGACGGGGTCTCGCTCTTGCTCAGGCTGGTTTTGAACTCCTGACCTTGAGCAATCCGCCCGCCTCGGCCTCCCAAGAGCTAGGATTACAGGCGTGAGCCACAGCGCCCGGCCTTATTTCATCATTATTTAATTGATTTATTTATTATTTTCTTTTAGAGACAGGGTCTCACTGTGTTGCCCAAGCTGGAGTGCAGTGGCCCAGTCATAGCTCACCAGAACCTTGAACCCCTCTGCTCAAGCAGTCCTCTCTCCCCAGCCTCCCAAGTAGCTAGAACTACAGGTGCACACCATCATGCCTGGCTAATTTTTAAAAATTTTTTATAAAGGTGAGATCTCACTGTGTTGCCTAGGCTGGTCTCTACCTCCTAACCTCAAATGATCCTTCCACCTTGGTCTCCCAAGTTCTGGGATTACAGTCATGTGCCACCATACCCGGCTTTATTTCATCTTAAAATGGAGATAATTACATATAGTGAAATATCAAAGGGTTATTGTGAACATTAAATGAACCAATTAGCACAGTGCCTGGCATGTAGTAGGCTATTAATAAGCATCAGTTATTATTCCAAATGCATGATTTTATATGTATTGAAATAATGGAGTCATTCTTAATATATTTTAAGATTTTATTATTCAGATTCTCAAGTATCAAATTTAAATTTGTGACTATTTGATTATGTTTATATCTCTTATAATGAATAATTTACTTTAACTTCAAAATTTGTGGTGGTCTTAGTTGTATTTTCTCATTTTGTAGAAGAAAAGCAAATCATATATTCTGCTTTCTAGGTAACAGCTATTGAACCTATAATTAATCATGGAGGAGCAAGTGCAAGCACTCAGCATTTACACCCGAGTCTGCGATGGCTCTTTGGTGTGGCAGCTGTGGTAACTGATGTTGGACAGATCCTTCTTATTGACCTATGTTTGGATGACTTGTCGTGTAGTCAGAATGAAGTAGAAGCATCAGGTAATTAGTAATTCTTTACTTGAAACCATAAATGGAGCACCTGAATATTCTGATGCATTGTTTTTAACAAGTAGTCAATATTTTTTAATATAGAGTCTTCTGTATGTATCTTTGTTTCTTTTATTATATGGACCTGGGCACTGTGGATACTTCTTGCATGAGATACTCTATTTTATTGAAGTGTTCATATACTAAAGTAGGCCTTGAGAAAAGTAATGATATTGATTTGTTTCTATATATATACTTGAATAAAATCTATTCATAAGTAAATGCCAGAACAAAGCACTAAATATAAAAAATTTTTATCTTTATAAGCTGGTTTACAATTATCCAGCCATGTAGGTTTTAACATAGTCTTTTTCGCATATTGTTTACATTCTTGTGGTAAGGCCAAGATAGAAAAATAGTATTTAATAATTTATTAAGAGATAACAGAGTAATTGAAAGTCTTTCCTTCCAAAATAACATCTTAAAATACAACTAATGCTATTCAAATTTTTAAAAACTTGAGAAATTTTTAAATTTTAAAAAACTTTTTTTTTAAAAAAAAGAGAGATAATTTGTCCCCATTAAATGCTGACATTTATTAATCTTTTTTGTAGAGCTAACCTCAAAACTAAAAAATGTGACTTTTACTTCTAAATTTTTAGTAAAGGATCATTTGACCTGAAAAAAGTTTTGACTTTGAGGACATTCTTGATGTTTAAAGAAAGCCTAAAATATCAGTGTAGATGTTTGCATTTACAGATCAACTAAGAAATAGATACAAACTATCTGCATTTTATAATGAACATAACATTTTATAATGAACATAACTAATAAAAATTGTCAGTGCTGGCCGGGCATGTGGCTCATCCCAGTATTTTGGGAGGCCAAGGTAGAAGGATTGCTTGAGGCCAGAAGTTCAAGACCAGCCTTGGCAACATAGCAAAACCTCATCTCTGCAGAAAATTAAAAATTAGTTGGTCATGGTGACATGCACCTGTAGTCCTAGCTACTTGGGAGGCTGAGGCAGGAGAATCACCTGAGCATAGGGATTTTGATTCTGAGGCTGCAGTGAGCCGTGATCATATCACTGCACCCCAGCCTGGGTAGCCGAGCTTGACCCTATCTCAAAAAAAATTATCAGTATATAATAAAACTGATTGATTAAAACTGCAATCTAGCAGGTACAATGAACACTATTCGGGTGATGAGCATACTAATAACCCTGACATAAGCATTATAAAAGCTATCCATGTAGCAAAAACATTTGTACACTCTTAATAGTTTGAAATTTAAAAAAACCTGCAAGTGGTAAAAACTATATTTGACTAAAAATTCATTGAAGAATCAAATCATCTGAACAAAATTTAAATATGTAAAATATGACCTGCATAAATTTGGTTTGGCAGAAATCAAATTTATGCAGGTCAATTTAAGTACATGACCATACATGTACTTTAAAAAAATCCTAATAGTGATAAAAGGTATATCTTAAAATTTGGTAATCAACCTGATTGATTAATAAAATTCTAGGTGCAGCTTAAATGAAAAGAATTAACAAAAACAATAATAATCATTTTGAATATTAGAAATGGCTTGACTGCTCTTTTTAGAAGATTGATCAAAGAATTAAGTAGGCTTGATTGCTTTACTTTCAAAGTTTGTTTTGTGGACATCATTATAGGTGTAAGGCTAATTAAAATGCTTGTATTCATAACGAAAACTCTCTTCAGGCCAGGCGTGGTGGCTCATGGCTATAATCCTAGCACTCTGGGAGGCCGAGGCGGGCGGATTGCTCAGGTCAGGAGTTCAAAACCAGCCTTAGCGAGACCCCGTCTCTACTAAAAATTAGCTGTGAATGGTGGCGCATGCCTATAGTCCCAGCTACTCCGGAGGCTGAGACAGTAGGATCGCATGAGCCCAGGAGATTGAGGTTGCTGTGAGCATGGACGACGCCATGGCACTCTAGCCTGGCCAACAGAGTGAGACTCTGTCTCAAAAAAAAAAAAGAAAAGAAAACTCTCTTCAGATCAAAATGATAGAGTTTAAAACATCCTTTATTTTGGAAGTCAGGTAAACAAGGATAATTTTAAAATGAAATTCTCTGGATTGTGATCAGAACCAGTTCTCAATTTTGAGAATTAGAAAGCAATTGAATTTTATAGTTTGAAAAATTAAGCTTTATGGTTTAATGCAAACCTTATTTTTTTGTTGACAAAAGTAATTTATGATTAAAACTGTTCAGATTTCACTGAAATACACTAACATAGAAAATGAAGTTTAAACTTAACAGTTTTTCTTATTCATCTTTCCACATCAGAAAATATTGAGTCTACCTTACTCTTTTGAATAAATACCAACTTTTTATTTTGACAAAATTTAATCACTCGCTATTCTCCAAATAAGTCATTGGAAGCAGAAGGGATTCAAAAGGTAGCCATTCAGGTATAATATGATGTGATTTTTTTCTCCCTCTTCACAACAACAGGAGAATCTGCTTTTGCACAACTGTTAATACATGGGTTTGGATTTTATTCCTTTTATTAGAAATTTCAGACATCTTCAAGTAGATAGAAGAATATAAGAATTCCCACATACTTATCACCCAAATTTAGATTAATTTTCAAGATTTACCACGTGTGTCTGTTTTCTTTTTTTTTTCTATTTCTCCCTTTCCCTCTTTCTCTGTTAGTTTAAAGCAGATATGGAGGCTATTTTACTACATAATCATAATGCCATTAATTCATAACAACATTAGTAATAGTACTTTGGTATAGTCTAATATCCAGTCCAAATCAAATTGTGATTATCTAAACCATCTTTTTACATTTGGATTGTTTGAATTGGAATTCAAAGTCCCTGCATTAATTACATTTTACAGTTGTGTCTCAAGTCTCCTTGAATGTGCAGCAATCCTCTTTGTTTTTATTTATTTATTTGTTTTTTAGTGCCACAGACTTGGTGAAGAAGTTAGTTATCTGGTAGAATGCCCCACATTTTGGAATTGTGTGGTTTCATGTGGTTCCCTTCATATTTTCTGTTTTCTGCAAATGTAAGTTAGCTTTGATTATAAATTAAGGTTGAACATTTTGTCAGGTTTACTTTGGAGGTGCTGGAACTTCATATTGTATCACATCAGGAGGCACAGGGTGACTAATTGTTTCACAGTTAGGGCTTGGTGAGTTCAGATGATGACAGCAGGATCCTTTCTGTTTTTAAAGTTTCTCATCAACCTTTAAACTAGTTCTAAACCAGTGGTGAATTTTGTTCTTTAGGAGATGTTTGGCAATGGCAGAAGACATTTTAGTTGTTACTACTGAGGGAGATGGTGGTACTGGCTGATAGTAGTTAAGAGACCAGGTATGCTGCTTAGAATCCTACAATGTGAAGGATAATCCTCCACAGGAAAGAATTATCTGACCCAAAATGTCAGTAGAGTAGTCCCCTTTTATCATTGAGGGGTATGTTCCAAGACCCCTACTGGATGCCAGAAACCTCAGATAGTACGGAACCCTATATACAGTGTTTTTTTCCTTATAAAGTCAGGAACTTTCACTTTTTTACTTAAAGGAAGCACATTATGGTTTCTCTTTGACATTTCCAAATTGCCAGCTTCATTACTCTTGTGATTTGGGGCCATTATTAAGTCAAATAAAAGTTACTTGAACACAAGTATGGCAATACCGTGACAGTCAATCTGATAACTGAGATGGACACTAAATAACTAAAGGCAGGTAACATATATAGCATATATACACTGGACAGAGGGATGATTCATGTCCCACAGATAGTGGGAGATTTCATCATGCTACTCAAATGCACTTTAAAATTTATGAATTATTTCTGGAATTTTTCATTTAATATTTTTGAATTGTGGTTGTCCACAGGCAAATGAAACTGGAAAGCAAAACTTCAAAGGGGGGGGAGTACTGTAGTGTCAAGATTGAAAAATCTACTTTATAATTGTTTCATTCATTGAGATTGTTATATGAACCTCTTATTTCATGAAGGGCTGCAAAATGATGATTTTTAAATTCTGTCAATCTGAAGAGGAGCTTTCTCATTAACTAGGGCTATTTGGTTACCCTAAAATACAATATGTACAGAAAAGACAAATATATACTAAAAGAAATAATACTAATAGTACTAACTTTCAGAATAAGACGGTGATATCAAGTTACTTCCAGTTGTTCAGTGTAAGGTCTTCTGTAGATGAAGAGGGTGAATGTCCCCCTAGACCGACCCTCTTACCCTTTTTTTTTGAGTATCATGAATTCATGAGGTGAAATATATTTAATTTCATATTTCATTTGTTTTCATTGGTTTTGATGGTCAAAATGTCCTGTCTTTGCTAATGAGAGCACCTTCATGTTGTCTGATACATTCCTTTTAGCCTTTAATAGCTTCCCAGATTACTCGCATAAGATGTACCAGGCTCAGCTTTACATATTTTTCTTCCCCAGACCTGGAATCAGCCATTCCTCCAAGGAAAATATTTAGGTTGTAGTTCTAAATTTCAATAAAGAAATAATCAGTTTTATTTATAATTGTTAAAGAAATTGTTTAACCCGTTAAAAGATTCTACCTTATATAATATTTGAGATGTACTGAATTTTTTTAAAAATTACATAATTAAATTATTTTTTAAATGACAGCATTTAAATAGATAAGGATGGCTATTTTCTAGTTCAGTGTGCTTTGTTGTCATTAATCTTTTTATTTTAATTGACTGGTTGATTTTGTTTGGGGCTTGAATAATTGATGACACATTTGCTTTTATGCCGTTCATAGTTTAACTTTATTTGTCAAATTTTTGTTTTTAGATCTTGAAGTTATAACTGGTATCCCAGCTGAAGTACCACACATCAGAGAAAGTGTGATGAGAGAAGGACGCCATCTGTGTTTCCAGTTAGTAAGTCCATCAGGAACAGCTGTTTCAACTCTTAGTTATATAAACAGGACAAATCAGCTTGCTGTAGGTTTTTCTGATGGCTATCTAGCACTTTGGAACATGAAAAGCATGAAAAGAGAGTAAGTATACCTTTTTTCTCTTATTTGATTATTGGTGGTTTCTGTTTTAATATAGCCTGTACTCAGTTACTAATACTTAAAATTTAGCATGAGAAAAGAGTAGAGTGGATTAGTGATTGAATGGTTGAGTAAGAATAATTTTTCATGGCATTAAATCATTTGATATGATGAAGGAATGACTTAGCACGTGAATTTAGGTTTATTCTCTTCAGTGTTTATCTAAAAGGCATTGCAGTTATTGTTTCATTTGCTAATAAAGCATGACTCTATAAAGACAAACTGTATAGTCATATACCACATAATAATGTTTCAATCAGTGATGGACCACATATATGAAGGTGGTCTCATAAGATTATTGGTGTTTTTGGTTTTGGTTTTCGGTTTTGGTTTTTTTTTTTTAAAGAGACAGGGTCTTGCTTTATCGCCCAGGCTGGAGTATAGTGGCACAATCATAGTTCACTGCAGCCTTGAACTATTGGGCTTGAGTGATCCTCTGATTCTCCTAGCTCAGCTTCCCAAGTAGGCCTTAAGAGTATAATAACATGTTTTTACTATACTTTTTCTATATTTAGATATTCAAATACTTAGCATTGTGTTATAGTTACCTACAGTATTCAGTACAGTAACATGCTCTACAGTTTTGAAGTCTAGGAACAATAGGCTATACCCTCACGGTTTGTATATGTATGTTCTGTGATGTTCACACAACAACAAAATCACCTAATGATACATTTCTCAGAAGGACTCCCTGTCATTAAGTGACACATGACTAAATACTTATAGTATGAGTTCTTTCAGAAATACTCTTCCTCATAATCATCTATGTAAAGTAGCAGTTTAATAAAGTTCTGAGTTGATGGGAAAATAGGACTTTTAAAAATAAAAATTATAACATACTTGTGCTTTAAAATTTTTATGCTATCAAAAATCTCCCTAAAATATAATTATTTTAATACCTTTGATCTGTGGAGAAAATTGCCTCTAATATCAAGGAATATTAAAGCAATATTAACAAATAGGCATTATAGATTTTTTTAGTTAATTTCTATTAAAAATTAGGTTGCCCATTTGGCACTTAAGTTGTTGATTTATTTGTTTCTTTTTTTCCTAGGCATATTGGTATATTTTCTTCAGTAATTTATTTTACGGGATGTTCATCACAACTCTCGTTGCTGTTATTCTTTTATCAGCTTCTGTCTTTTGAATTGCTCCTAAAGAAATACCTGGAGAACCTGACTTCTATAGCAGTGTTTTCTCTAACACTATCATCTCTTATCTAATTATGGGAATTTATAGAAACTCTTAAGTTTCTAACTTATCTTCTCTTTTATTAGTGGGAAAATTGGCTATAAACCCAAGTGGATGAAATGGAGTATTGTGGTAGTATTTAATGTCTTTGTAGGATATTGCTCATGGATAGCAATACATGGTAGTGTACACTGATAAGACTCTCTAAGAACCAGTTTACACAAACATATGCATTTACTTTAGCAATTCTAACTCTTCCCAGTTCCACCTGACAGATGGGTGCCATGGCCATAGTCTTGGTTCTTGATGTCTTATGTCCTGTGTATTTTTGAAGATAAGGTGACTTGGCCATGCTCCTCAAGTCACTTAATTTGGGACATTGTATTATGAACAGTGGTTGCTTAACCCAAATTCTTACATGAGATATGTTCTTCCTTTCCAAAAAATTATAACTTACAAATATGAAATGTACTAATTTTTGTCTGTTTCAGATATTACACACAATTGGAAGGTGGAAGAGTTCCTATATATGCTGTTACTTTTCAAGAACCTGAGAATGATCCTCGTAATTGCTGTTATTTGTGGGCTGTTCAGTCTACACAAGATACGTAAGTGTAGTTAAAAAAAATTTTGTCAAAACTGATAAAATAGTTAATTTCTTTTGCAAAGCTTTGTACTGTTTTTAGTAAAAGCTACGTAATTCTTTCGGTGAATTAGTGAGTGGTAGTTGAAATTATTTTAAAAGTTAAATGATTGTTTCCACATGTTTGAGTAATTCTGAGATACAGTAAGAAGAAATTGTGCTTGCTTAACTTGTTCGAATGTTATTTCAAAGAGTAAGCCAACACAGATGAGTAGACAACTTCTTTGTACCTTGGGCAATTTTTATGGCCTTCTACTCATAAGAACATCTTTTCCCATTTATAATCTCATTCCTTTTTTTTTCTTTCCATTGTGTATGCCTCTGTTTCATTTTTGTTTACTTCTACTTTGTTCTCCAGTCCTTCCACTCACCCTTACGGTATATTCCTAGGTTTAATTTGGTTAATCTTAACCTGTCATAAGCTCTAATTTTGTTCCACCTATGGATAATGAGAAATCTCTTCTTTCACTTTAATTTCTAACTGGTTAAGCTTATTCATTTCCAGTGCTAGAAAATACAAGTATTGATAATCTCTTGTTCTTTGGTATTTAATTCTTTGATGATGAAACAGTTATGTTTTTTATTAGCATTATGTAAATGCTATGATCTTGATAACTTACTATTCTTTTTTTTTTTTTTTTTTTTTTTTTGAGACAGAGTCTCGCTTTTGTTGTCAGGCTAGAGTGAGTGCCGTGGCGTCAGCCTAGCTCACAGAACCTCAAACCTGGGCTCAGCGATCCTTCTGCCCTCAACCTCCGAGTAGCTGGGACTACAGGCATGAGCCACTGCGCGCTAATTTTTTTATATATATATCAGTTGGCCAATTATTCTTTCTATTTTATGTAGAGACGGGGTCTCGCTCTTGCTCAGGCTGGTTTTGAACTCCTGACCTTGAGCAATCCGCCGCCTCGCCTCCCAAGAGCTAGGATTACAGGCGTGAGCCACCGCGCCCGGCCTGATAACTTACTATTCTTAATACTTTCTTTTTCTAAGTCTATCCTACCTACAGATTCTATAATAGGTTTTCGTGTTGGATATTCTCTACTTTTAGGTTTTGTCTTACCCTATGCTGTAGTGAATCAATGAATAAAGAATTGCCTTGCCACTTGAGAAATTTATCAATCCTGGAGAAAACTGAAATGATGAAAATATAGAAACAGGTCGGGTGTGGTGGCTCATGCCTGTAATCCTAGTACTCTGGGAGGCCTAAGTGGGAGGATAGCTCAAAGTCAGGAGTTCAAGACTGGCCTGAGCAAGAGTGAGACCCAGTCTCTACTGAAAATAGAAAGAAATGAGCTGGACAACTAAAAATATATAGAAAAAATTAGCCGGTCATGGTGGCACACTCCTGTAGTTCCAGCTACTAGGGAGGCTGAGGCAGGAGGATCGCTTGACCCAGGAGTGAGGGTTGTGATGAGCTAGGCTGATGCCATGGCACTCTAGCCCAGGCAACAGAGTGAGACTGCTTCAAAAAAAACAAAAACAAAAAAAACAACTACAGGAACACTATCGAGACTTACCTGATTGAGTCACCCATTTCCTGTCCATATTACAGCCTTTGGTGTTAATGTAGGCCAATACTAGCTTAAGGATATGATTCACGAAGGCTTATATGGTGTGGGGGTATGTGTATGTATGTATATACACACATATATATAAACAAATGTAAATAATCTTGTATACAATTTAAAGAAGCTCATAGAGCTCTGCCCTAAGTCTGTCCATGGTTAAGGTCTGTGACTCTTGCTTTGAGTCATTCTTAGACTAATCTCTTTTTATAAAAGTATTTGATGATACCATGTCTGTTTCCTCACCCCTGGTCATTGATATTCCAGCACCTTATTGATTATAAATAGATTAAATTAAAATTATACTATTTATGTTTATTAGTCTAAATGCAGAAGACAGGTGGTATGGGCTTTTTTCCCTCCATCAGAGTAATCATTTGAACAAAATAAAGAGGGAAAAAGAATCATTGTAGAGTGAATATATGACCATAAAATACATGGGTATAGATCTTAAAATTATGCATAGTGCTTATTAATTATAATAAAAGCCACATTTGTATTTAGTTTCATAATAGGAAAAGTGAATGGAAAACTGTTGGTATTCCTTTAATGTTGGTTGTATGCAATCTCTCCTGCTTACTAGATTTTAGAGGCTGTTTTTGTTGCTTTATGGCAAGTATTTATGCATTTAACACATTATTGAGCAGCTACTGTGCACATTAACTGTTCTAGGAATATACAATGCATAAGACAGATAAATTTCTGTTGTTCTTGAGCTTATATTCTAGCGAGCAATAAAGATAGTAGATAAATAAGAATAGTACTTATTTAATGCAAAAAAAAAAACTGGAAATAGGATGTAGATATGGTAGAGTTAGGAGTCCTCCTACTTTAGATAGTGTAATCAGAAAGATTAGAATGAAGTTGGGGCAGGAACTGGGAGAGCTATGGAAAAATGTGGAGGAAAGGATGTGCACACAGGTCTTAGTACAATGTCTCAAGGAAAAGAAAGGTGGAGCCTAGAATAATTGTAGATGAGGCCAGAAAGAAAGATGAAGCCAGAAATAGAACTCATTTACATATAGGAATGTGTAGGGCAGAATGAAAGTGTTTGGATTTGGTCTGGCTGTTTTAGGTCAGTTAAATTGATTTGTTGTGGGTAAGCTAAACATTAGTTATTTTTTCTTTTTTTTTTTCTTTCTTTTCTTTTTTTTTTTTTGAGAAAAGTCTTGCTTTGTTGCCCAGGCTAGAGAGAGTGCCGTGGCGTCAGCCTAGCTCACAGCAACCTCAATCTCCTGGGCTCAAGCGATCCTCCTGCCTCAGCGTCCTGAGTAGTGACTCAGGCATGCGCCACCATGCCCGGCTAATTTTTTCTATATATATATTAGTTGGCCAATTAATTTCTTTCTATTTATAGTAGAGATGGGGTCTCGCTCTTGTTCAGGCTAGTTTCAAACTTCTGACCTCGAGCAATCTGCCCGCCTCAGCCTCCCAGAGTGCTAGGATTACAGGCATGAGCCATCATGCCCAGCCAGCATTAGTATTTTTTCAAAGCTCCTCTGGTGATTCTAATAATAAACAACCGGAGTTGAGAACCAATGGCCTAGAGTGAATGAGAAATATAGAAAAGAAGAGATCTGGGAACTGAGCCTTGAAACCCTCTAATGTTTAGAGATACTTGGAGATTGAGAACAAGAGGGCAAGGTAGCCAGCAAAGGACTAAGGAGTAGATAGTGTGGTATGAGGAACATTAGGAGAGTGTATGGTGTGCTAGAAGCCAAGTAAAAGAAATATTTTAAGAAGCATCAGCTAGTAATAAGTCAAATTCATATGTTGTGGCTCTAGAATCTGTGCTCTTAACACTTGCATACTGTGTGCTTAAGTAGTAGGGAGTTGATTTAATATCTTTGCTTTGTGCCTTCATTGTATAGCTCCCATCCTCATGATCTTGGGCAACATCTTCATTTTAAGTGGTGTAGCAAGATGGAGAAAGAGACCAGAAATGAAGAGCAAAAGATATGTTGCCAATTAAGAAGTGTTCTCTGTAGTTGACATGGGATAATTCTGTTTATATCCCATTGCCCAGAGCTTGGCCACAGGGCTACTGCATCTAGCTGCAAAGGAAGCTGGGAAATGTAGTGGACATATTAGGCAGCCATGTTTCTAACTAAAACATACCTATTTGAGAAAGAATATTGAATAAACAGTTATAGTCTCTGCCCCATAAGATACCACCTAAAGTATGTAAATAGCATCAGTTTAGTTAATTAGAACCAATGAAAAGTAAAAATCAGTTATTGTTTCAAAGGAATACATTTTATGAAAACAACTAACTGGGCATGTTGGCTCATTCCTGTAATCGTAGCCCTCTGGGAGGCTGAGGCAGGAGGATTGCTTGAGCTCAGGATTTTAAGACCAGCCTGAACAAGAGTAAGACCCCGTCTCTACTAAAAATAGAAAAAATTAACTGGACATGGTGGTGCACACCTGTAGACCCAGCTATCAGGAGGCAGGAGGATTGCTTGAGCCCTCAGGAGTTTGAGTTTGCAGTAAGTTAGGCTTACGCCACAGCACTCTACATGGCACTCTAGCCTGGGTGACAGAGCAAGATTCTGTTTCAAAAGTAAAAGAAAACAACCAAATCTAAATTCTTCACAGTGATACTAGTTTTAGACAGTAAGAGATGTTTAATGTACTAATATGATAGTGTATTTCCTCAGTTAATTTCTATTTTTTTCAGTGAAGGGGATGTTTTGAGTTTGCATCTGCTTCAGCTGGCCTTTGGTGATAGAAAGTGTTTGGCATCAGGACAAATCTTATATGAGGTAATTGTATTATGGGTTTATGTTACCATTTTTTTCATTATTTCCTGATATTAAATGTTTTTTTGTTTTTTTTTTATTTTGGCATATTATGGGGTTACAGATTTTAAGGGTTCAATAAATGCCCTTCCCCCTTCTCCCCCGCAAGTCTGAGTTTCCAGCATGACCATCCCCCAGATGGTGCACATCTCACTCATTATGTATGTATATACCCGCCCCCTCCCCCCTGCCCAATACCCTATTACTGTAGTACCTATGTGTCCACTTAGGTGCTGCTCAGTTAATACCAGTTTGCTGGTGAGTATATGTGGTGCTTGTTTTTCCATTCTTGGGATACTTCACTTAGTAGTATGGGTTACAGCTCTAACCAGGAAAATATAAGATGTGCTATATCACCGTTGTTTCTTAGAGCTGAATAGTACTCCATGGTATACATATACCACATTTTATTAATCCATTCTTGGATTAATGGGCACTTGGGCTGTTTCCACAGCCTTGCAATTATGAATTGTGCTGCCATAAACATTCGAGTGCAGGTGTCTTTTTTGTAGAGTGTCATTGGATCTTTTGGGTTGATGCCCAGTAATGGGATTGCTGGATCAAATGGTAAATGTTTTTAAGATAATTGAAAAGCTATCCTTATATTCAGGTTAATACTGTATTCATACTATAGTAGAAGTATTATTGTACATTAGAGATCTAATCTCTAGATCAGAATATCTGATAGAATTCAGTTTTAACTATTTTACCAAGGTAGCACTTTTCTGGTGTCATTTTCCTCCACAGTGAGGGGAATGAACTAGACTCAAGCTTGTGGTTTAATTGATACCAAGGAAAAACAGTCCCACTTTGTTGATCTAATATATTGAGCAGTAAGCCATGGGGAGACATTATAAGAGGGTATATGGATCTCAACTTTCAGATGATTATCTTTTTTTCTGAATTCCTGAGCAAACAGCAGGGGTGCTGCTAATAGCCACATTTGCCAAATCTCACATACCTGTCTCAAAAACAGGTTTTCCTAATCTGGTGTTTGAGAGGTATATTGATGGGTTTTAGGCAATACATAAAGTCCTGAATTACTTATGACATTTTTATGATTATGCATTTTTCTGGGGAAAGTCTCATAGCCTTTTGTCAAATTCTTAAAGGGACCAATAAGCAAAAAAAGTTTAAGAACTATTCTAGAACAAGAATTTCAGTAAGAACACAGGAATAGGTTTGTTGTCCTGGGGCATATACAAATTTGATGGATATTCCAGATATTCCAGCCGGTTGCACATGAGAATTCCTATGTTTGATAACAACTTTAGAAGGTTAGTTGGTAATCATTTTTGAAAGACTAAACCTAGCTTTTTAATTGGTGTTTTGTAGTATGTAACATTTTGCAGCCTTTTTCAGTGATTTTTTTGGTCTCTTCAATCTAAATTTTATATTTTCTTCATATTGTGTGAAAAAAAAATCTTTAAATCTGGAAAACATTTAATTTTTATTTTTTACTGATGATACCTGCTCCAGATATTCAGTTTTAAAATGATCTTTTGCTTTGAATCCCATTAAGGTTTGTGTACGTTTTGTATTACAGGGTTTAGAATACTGTGAAGAAAGATACACACTGGACCTGACAGATGGCATGTTTCCTTTGAGGGGACAGACCAGTAATACCAAATTGTTGGGATGCCAGAGTATAGAGAAATTTCGATCTCATGGTGACAGGGAGGAAGGCATGAATGAAGGTTGGTTAAAAGTACTCTAATTATGTCATGTGAAAGCTTGATTTAAGATTTATCTTAAGGTTCATGACAGGTATTGGTTTCTAGAGTTCATACTCCTGGCAGTTAAAAAAAATTAGAATACTAATTAAGGAATTTATTTAGGTCTGTATGAGATACTTATATTTCTTGCTGTCTAGATTGCTATCTAGAACTCAAGAATTGAATAGGCCGGGCGCGGTGGCTCACGCCTGTAATCCTAGCTCTTGGGAGGCCGAGGCGGGCGGATTGCTCAAGGTCAGGAGTTCAAAACCAGAGACACCAAGTCTGCTGTTGCCCCAGCTAAGAGCAGTTGCCGTGCGTCAGCCTAGCTCACAGCAACCTCAATCCTCCGGGCCAAGCGGATCTCCGCCTCAGCCGTCCGAGTAGCTGGACTACAGCAGCGCCACCATGCCGGCTAATTTCTATATACATATAGTTGCCAAATAGCTCTTTCTATTTATAGTAGAGATGTGGTTGCGCTCTTGTTCAGCTAGTTCCAAACTCTGACCTCGAGCAACTCGCCGCCTCAGCTCCAAGGCTAGATAAGGCTGAGCCATCCATCCTCAGCCAGCATTAGTATTTCAAAAGCTCTCTGGTATTAGAATAAACACCGAGTGAACCAATGGCCTAGAGTGAACGAAAATATAGAAAAAGAAGAGAATGCGACTGACCTGAACTCCTAACTCTAAGATACCTTGAGATAAAACACGAAGGGCAAGGACCAGCAAGACGAAGCGAAGTAGATAGTGGTAGAGCGAACATTAGGCAGAGGTATTGTGCAGAAGCCAAGTAACGAAGAAATACTTTAAGAAGCATCCAGCATATAACAATCATTCATATGTTCGGCTCTAGAAACGTGCCTTAACCTTGCAACGGTGCTTAAGTAGTAGGAGAGATTAATATTTGCCTGGCTCATTGTATATCCCATCCTCATGATCGCAGACATCTCTTAAGTGGAAAGGCAAGAGGAGGAAAGAGACCAGAAATGAAGAGAAAAATGTTCAACTAACAATGGTTCCTGAGTTGAACAGATAATTCTGTTAATCCCATTGCCAGAGCGTGGCCCACAGGGCTACTGCATTACTTGCAAGGAACGGGAAAGTAGTGACAATCACGGACACATGTTCTAACAAAACATACCTATTGAGAAGAATAATAAACAGTAATAGTCTCGCCCTAAGACCACCTAAATATTTAGCCATCCATTTAGTTAATTAGAACCAATGAAAAGTAAAATGCATTATTGATTCCAAAGGAATACATTCATGAAAACAACCTGCCCATGGCTCATTCCTGTAGATCAGCTTGAGCCCAGGAGTTTGAGGTTGCTGTGAGCTAGGCTGATGCCATGGCACTCTAGCCCAGGCAACAGAGTGAGACTGTCTCAAAAAAAAAAACAAAAACAAAAAAAAACAACTACAGAAACAGCTATCGAGACTTACCTGATTGAGTCACCCATATTCCTGTCCATATTACAGCCTTTGGTGTAATGTAGGCCAATACTAGCTTAAGGAATATGATTCACGAGGGCCTTATATGGTGTGGGGGGGTATGTGTATGTAATGTATATACACACACATATATATAAACAAATGTAAATAATCTTGTATACAATTTAAAGAAGCTCATAGACTCTGCCCTAAGTCTGTCCATGGTTAGGTCTGTGACTCTTGCTTTGAGTCATTCTTAGACTAATCTCTTATTTTATAAAAGTATTTGATGATACCATGTCTGTTCTCCCTCACCCCTGGTCATTGAATCTTCCAGCACCTTATTGGTATTATAAATAGATTAAAATATAAATATTATACATATTTAGTTTATTAGTCTAAATCAGAAAGACAGGTGGTATGGGCTTTTTCCCCTCCATCAGAGTAATCATTTGAACAAAATAAAAGAGGAAAAAGAATCATTGTAGAGTGAATATATGACCATAAAATTACATGGGTATAGATCTTAAATTATTTGCCATAGTGCTTATTAAATTATAATAAAAGCCACATTTAGTTTCATAATATGGAAAAGTGAATGAAAAAACTGATTGGTATTCCCTTTAATGTTGGTTGTATGCAATCTCTCCTGTTACTAGATTTTAGAGGCTGTTTTTGTTTGCTTTATGGCCAAGTATTTATGCATTTAACACAATTATTGAGCAGCTACTGTGCACCATTAACTGTTCTAGGGAATATAGCAATGCATAAGACAGATAAAATTTCTGTTGTTCTTGAGCTTATATTCTAGCGAGCAATAAAGATAGTAGATAAATAAGAATAGTACATATATTTAATGCAAAAAAATAAAACTGGGAAATAGGATGTAGAGTATGGTAGAGTAGAGGTTCCTCCTACTTTAGATAGTGTAATCAGAAAGATTAGAATGAAGTTGGGGCAGGGAACTGGGAGAGCTATGGAAAAATGTGGGAGGAAAGGATGTGCACACAGGTCTTAGTACAATGTCTCAAGGAAAAGAAAGGGTGGAGCCTAGAATAATTGTAGATGAGGCCAGAAAAGAAAGATGAAGCCAGAAAATAGAACTCATTTACATATAGGAATGTGTAGGGCAGAATGAAAGTGTTTGGATTTGGTCTGGCTGTTTTAGGTCAGTTAAATTGATTTGTGGTGGTAAGGGCTAAACATTAGTATTTTTTCTTTTTTCTTTTTCTCTTTCTTTTCTTTTTTTTTTTTTTTT